TTTTCAAAGATAAGTTGTGTGAGTTTAACCGGGTGCTACGTAGTACGAGAGAAATGTATTTTTCTGAATTTATTGAAGACTTCAGTAACAATCTGTGTGTTCTGTTTTCAACAGTTAATAGATTAACAAACCCCCCTGTTCAGCTTCCATTAGAACTAAATTCCAAATGTGAATGTAATGAGTTTGCAATTTCTTTCAAAGACAAGGTTCAAGGCATCAAAAATGCCATTGTCTCCAATCCACAGATCCATGTTACCTTCACTCACACAGATAGTAAATATGTCCCTTGATTCTGGAATATTCCTAAAGGCCCTGAAAACGGCAGTTTTAATTAACAACTATCATCCATCCATCCATCCATCTTCTTCCCCTTAATCCATTTCTGGGTCGGGAGGGTGGCAGTCAGAGCTGCACCCAGTACACAAAGCCCCAGCCCCTCACTGATCCTCCTGCAGGTGGTGAGTCCACAGGAGACTTGATCTTTCAAGAGAGGGCTTCAGGCAAAGTGTCTTGCCCAAGGACACAACGACAGCAGACATCAGTGGGAGTCATGAAGTAGGTCTTACAATGGGCTCGAACCCACAACCTTCATGCTCAAAGGCCAATGCTTGACCAACTGAGCCACTGTCGCCCCATCTCATCCCATCTCACAAAAGACTTCCTGTCTTCAAGGTAAGACCTCCCATCTATCGTCCCATCTCAAATCTGCCATTTATGGGGAAAGTCCTTGAGAAAGTTGCCTACCTACAGCTTACTAGATTTCTTATAATCAACAACTCATTTGATATGTTTCAGTCCGGCTTTAGACCCCACCACAGCACTGAGACTGCTCTCGTTAAGGTTACAAACGATATCCGGCTGAACACTGACGCAGGCAAAGTCTCAATCTTAATCTTGTTAGATCTAAGTGCTGCCTTTGACACCGTCGACCTAACCTGGCAAAAGCCAGATTGATGATTGTGTAGAACTCTAACGCGTTCTCCGCGATATCAATCTGGGATTTCTCCCGGAGAATCCTTTCGGGGAAAGGAGGGGTAAGCAGCAGAATACTTGAAGCTGATTGGGCGAAGTGACGCTGTGTGCCCGCCTACCAAGGTTGCCGTCCAGAAATGTACAAAGCGCCTCTCGCTGTTCATCTTTCAAAAAAGAAATTGGAGATTCTGCTAAAACTGACTTTGCGTCCGTCCCATGTTTGTTTTGCTTCGGCCCGGCACTTCTTGCTTTCGTCAAACCCGGATATCCCGCCCTAAACCCCCAGACTGGCGCGTGATTGGCTCGCACACCCAGTGGTTCGACTCAAAGTGTAAGCGGGAGCGGTACAAGATGTATTCTCGAGTGTTTGTGAACTCACAAATACCGCAAGAATTCAGCTTGCAGGCAAGGTTACCGTCGACCATGAGATCCTCTTACAGAGACTAGAGGACTGGGTTGGCGTCGCTGGCACCGCCCTAAGTTGGTTTAGGTCTTACCTTGAGGACAGGAAGTACTTTGTGGAGATTGGAAACTGTGTCTCAGATCATATGGCCCTGACCTGTGGAGTCCCACAGGGGTCGATCCTGGGACCTCTTCTGTTCAATCTCTACATGCTGCCGTTAGGTCAGTTAATACGCAGAAACAAAGTGTCCTATCACAACTATGCAGACGACACTCAGATCTATGTCTCACTGACTGCAGGAGAACATGGACCAGTGGACTCACTCCTTCACTGTATCCAACAGATCAGTGAGTGGATGCAAAACAACTTCCTTCAGCTAAACGCAGACAAAACTGAAATGATTGCCTTTGGTCCCCACAAACAAAGAGAGAGCGTCATCTGTCATCTACAGTCTCTCTCCCTAAAACCTTCAAACAAGGTCAGAAATCTACGGGTAATACTGGACTCAGACAGAATTTTAATAGCCACATCAAATCAGTAACATCAGCAGCTTTTTACCATCTAAAAAACATTGCCAGGATCAAAAACATAGTGTCTAAAGCAGACCTGGAGATTCTTATCCATGCATTTGTCTCCAGTAGGTTAGACTACTGCAATGGCCTGCTCACAGGTCTGTCCAAACAGGCTTTAAAACAGCTGCAGTACATTCAAAATGCAGCAGCTCGAGTCCTGACTAGAACCAGGAAGTACGACCACATTAGTCCTGACTAGAACCAGGAAGTACGACCACATTAGTCCAGTTCTCAGGTCTCTGCACTGGCTTCCTGTGGCTCAGAGAATAGACTTTAAAACAGCTCTGCTTGTGTACAAGTCTCTCCATGGCCTCGCACCAAAATATATTAGTGACATGTTAGTCCCATATGAACCAGCCCGGACTCTGAGGAGCACAGGGACTGGACTCCTGCTGGGACTCTGAGGAGCACAGGGACTGGACTCCTGCTGGGACTCTGAGGAGCACAGGGACTGGACTCCTGCTGGGACTCTGAGGAGCACAGGGACTGGACTCCTGTTAGTGCCCAGAGTCAGAACTAAACATGGGGAGGCTGCTTTTCAGATTCATGCTGCTAAAATCTGGAACAATCTTCCTGAAGATGTGAGACAGGCCTCCTCCTTAAAGACAGTTCTGTTTAGCTGTGCATACAACTGAGGGATTTTATATTTTTATCTTTCGTTTTAATGTTTTGTGATTATTTATGATTTTAATGCTTTCTTATTTTGTTCAGCACTTTGAGTTGCCTTTTGTATGAATTGTGCTATATAAATAAACTTGCCTTGCCTTGAATGAAAAGGTCGCAGACTGAGGCTAGTTCTGAGAAGTGGAAAAAAGCAGAAGTGAAGCGCCTTCTTTAACTCGTCAGTCCTTATCAGATCAGCTGCGAAACATAACACAGGAAGCCCACGTTTATCAGCAAAGAAGAACTTAAAAATAAAAAGAGGAAAATGTTGCTGCATAAAGACTGTTCTTCAGTGTGCACAAGAAAACGTTTATGATTAAGACTTTTATTAAAACAATATTATTCACAGAGAAGCTTGTGTCAGATCACTGCATCCAGCCCTGGGTCTACAGCCTCAGTCCTGGGTCTACAGCCTCAGTCCTGGGTCTACAGCCTCAGTCCTGGGTCTACAGCCTCAGCCCTGGGTCTACAGACTCAGTCCTGGGTCTACAGCCTCAGTCCTGGGTCTACAGTCTCAGTCCTGGGTCTGCAGCCTCAGTCCTGGGTCTACAGCCTCAGTCCTGGGTCTACAGCCTCAGTCCTGGGTCTACAGCCTCAGTCCTGGGTCTACAGCCTCAGTCCTGGGTCTACAGCCTCAGTCCTGGGTCTACAGCCTCATCACTCTCCTCGCCTCTCAGCAAGGTCGAAGAATCCCGGTTGAACCAGGGGCCTTTCTGAGTGGAGTTTGCATGTTCTCCCCGTGTCTGCGTAGTTTTCCCCCGGGTGCTCCGGAAAAAAAACATGTACAATAGGTCTGACATGTGCCTCCTGTACTGGCCCCTCCCATCTCTGTGTGGAGTGAGAGACTAATGCCCAAAAATAACAATAGTAAACTGCTTTGAGACTCTGATCTGCAGTGAAAAGGCGGTATATAAATAAACATTACTACTACTATTACATATTGTCTGAGGCAGAGTTGGATTTACCTGATACATTGTTGATATGCTTCCAAAACTTATTTGTGTTTTTAAAGTGATTGGTTGAACTGTTTTTGTGATAGTTAGATCCAGCGTTTCCTGTTTGAGTGGTGCAGATATTACGCAGACGTCTGTATTCGTCAGCAGTGAGCTTCAAAACTCTAACTTTAGACCAAGCCTTATCTCGTTGTCTGTGCAGACTCATCCGTTCATCATTCACCAGAAGATGGTTTCCTTTGATCGCAATCTCACTCAAAGGTGCATGTTTGTTAATAACAGTTAATAATTCAGAATAAAAATAGTCCCAGGCTTCATTTATAGATGGTGTTAGACCAAGTCTATCCCAGTTAATATTCACAACATCAGTAACAAAGTTATTCAAGTTAAACAGGTTAGGGGGAGACAAGGGGGTTTCATTTTCAAATACAATAAAAAACGCAGTGATCACTGAAACAGTCTGCTAATACACCAGATTAAAGGAATCTTTCTGGACTAAGATCTGGTCCAGAAGGGATTGGGATGTGGGGTAATACATGTGGGATCATTTATCAACTGAGAAAAGTTGGAGCTTTTAAATGTGTAGATTTAATAGCTCCAACTGTAGATCCAGTCCTGGATCTACAGTCTCAGTCCTGGATCTACTGTCTCATTCCTGGATCTACAGCCTCAGTCCTGGGTCTACAGCCTCAGTCCTGGGTCTACAGTCTCAGTCCTGGGTCTACAGTCTCAGTCCTCGGTCTACAGTCTCAGTCCTGGGTCTACAGTCTCAGTCCTGGATCTACAGCCTCAGTCCTGGGTCTACAGTCTCAGTCCAGGATCTACAGCCTCAGATTGAATGTCCCCAAGGTTTAAGGTTAACTTTTTCCCTCCTGCTGGGACTCTGAGGAGCACAGGGCCTGGTCTCCTGCTGGTCCCAGAGTCAGAACTAGACCACGAGAAGCAGCGTTTCAGATTTATGCTGCAAATATCTGGAACAGTCTTCCTGAAAATGTGAGACAGACTTCTTCTTCTCTGACAATGTTCCAATCCAGGTTAAAAACAGTTCTGATTCTGCAACAACTGAAGGATTGTATCTTCACTCTTTTTAATGTGATGTGATTATTTATGACTTTATGTCTTGTGTGACTGTTTCTCTCTTGTGGTCTATGCACTTTGAGTTCCCTTGTGTATGCACAGTGCCATACGAATAAACTTTACTTTTCTTGCCTCGAGCCGTGTCACAGACACACACACCCACATCAGGGAGAAGTGGTTGTAAAGAGGAAGCTATCAGTGATCGCTGCAGAAGTCTTGCCCACGGCTGACGTCAGCCTCCCACTTCCACTGCTGAGAAAACCTGAAGAAACATGAATATTCAGACCAGACTTGGACAGAAGGACGTCGGGTCTGAACTCAAAGTGAACAGAGCGACGGGGGCAGGGTCAGGGCTCGGACATGGACACACAGGCGCTCCTCGTTCTGCTCCTGTGCTCAGGTGAGGTCGATCTTCAACATTAAGTACTCATATTGACCCTCATTTATGAAACTTGCGTACGGCTAAATCTGGGTAAATGAGGCGTACGCAGGAAATGTACACTTTTTGGCATTTATAAATCTGGACGTTAACGTACGGTACGCTCAGAATATACGCCAACTCTGCTCATATCAACCTTCATCACAACACGCCAAAACACACAAAACAGCTACCATAGTCCCACTCTGGCAAAATGATAAGCTGTGTTTTCATTTGAATAAATCAGAGTTCATGATGAGGAGCCTCTTCTGTTTCTATGATTCTAAATCTGACTTGTTTATTATTTTGATCTGTATGTTTTTTAAAAGTGAAGTGCTTTGTGATCCTGGACTGTGAAAGGCTCTATACAAATAAACTTGACTTACTTAATAAGTTACGTTCAGGGATGTGTGACCATCTATTGCTTTGTTAATCTGGTAAAGCAATGTAGTAGTAAGTTTTATTTATATACCGCCTTTTCCCTGCAGATCTGAGTCTCAAAGCGGTTTACAATTGTTAATTTTGGGCAATTGTCTCTCACTCCACACAGAGATGGGAGTGGGGTCGCCAGTACAGGAGGCACATGCTAGAACTATTGGACATATTTTTAGTGGTAGGGGAAACCGGAGTACCCGGAGGAAACCTACGCAGACACGGGGAGAACATGCAAACTCCACTCAGAAAGGCCCTGGTCCGACCGGGATTCGAACCCAGGACCTTCTTGCTGAGAGGCGAGAGTGCTATCCACTCAGCCACCGTGCCGCTGTAATGTATGTTTTCATTAGATTAGACACAGCCCATAAACGCACCGATGGACTGTGGTCTTCTCACTCCAAACGTCTCACTGCCCTGTCCACATGCAGCAGTTTATAGACAGGCTGGGAACGAGCTTATCTCTGGGCAGTGAGCAGCGGGTTCCATGAGAGGTGGCGCCGCAGAACTCCTCAAATGCTCGTCATTCAGAAGTTTGGATCCAGAGTTTCTCAGTGAAATCCTGGATCTTCACAAAAGCTTCTCATCCTTTCTCTCACAGAGATCGCTTCATTGCATTCACAAGATGCTGCAGACGCTTCATTCAGTTAATGACTATTCATATTTATCAATTCATTCATTCTTTTTTATTTACTTCTACAATTCAAGAGACATTTTTCTAAAGTTGTGCAAATGTGTTCAAAACGCAGCTGAATAAAGCGTATATTTATTTTTGCATAAACTTGAAAACAGGCCGTTTGTATTCAGCCGCTGCATTTATGAACACCCGCAGCTGCGTACGCTCAGATCCGACGTTTGATCCTGCGTATTTTGAATCTACGCCCAAAATGTTCACCTTTTTCTGCGCACGTTTCATAAAAGAGAGCTAATTACTCTACTTTGAAAATAATCTCTGATATTATCGCTCTGTTGGGACAAAAACTCAAACTCAAACCGTCCAAAACAGCAGAAATGTTGATTGTTTCTTGTTTAGGGTGAATCCCCATTAGCTTACACCCGGGGGCTACGACCTTTTCCCCAGAGAGCTACAAAAATGACCTGAGAGCTACTTCTTTGGGCCGAGTATTTATAAGTATATATTTGTGAGAGTCCGTGAGTTATCGTCACAAACCTGTTTCTAGGGCACACAGTAGGTTTGAGCGAGAGAATAGAAGAAAAGAAATACTGAGTTCATTATCCAGCAAGAAGGTCCTGGGTTCGAATCCCGGTCGGAACAGGGTCTTTCTGAGTGGAGTTTGCATGTTCTCCCCGTGTCTGCGTAGGTTTCCTCCGGGTGCTCCGGTTTCCCCTACCACTAAAAACATGCACAATAGGTCTGAATGTAATGAGTGAGTGGAGGGTGTTTGGTCGGAGGCTTTGATGGACCAGTGTGTTATGGTCTCGCTTCTGTCATCACCGTGTGGAGAGAATGGAACAATATCTGAACATTGTAAAGCTCTCGGTTAAAAAAAAAATGATTACAAAAAACTAAAACAGAACAATAAAGTAAATCATTGCCATCATGTTGTGGGAAACAGTTTCTTTGGACCCGGGTTTAAAATGACCCCTCCATAAAAAACAAATACATGTGAAAAAAGACAGGTCTCTCTCTGGTCTCTCTCTGGTCTCTCCCTGGTCTCTCTCTGGTCTCTCTCTGGTCTCTCCCTGGTCTCTCCCTGGTCTCTCCCTGGTCTCTCTGGTCTCTCTCTGGTCTCTCTCTGGTTTCCCTCTGGTCTCTCTCTGGTTTCCCTCTGGTCTCTCTCTGGTTTCCCGCTGGTCTCTCTCTGGTCTTTCTCTGGTTTCCCTCTGGTCTCTCTCTGGTTTCCCTCTGGTCTCTCTCTGGTCTCTCTCTCTGGTCTCTCTCTGGTCTCTCTCTGGTCTCTCCCTGGTCTCTCTCTGGTCTCTCTCTGGTCTCTCCCTGGTCTCTCCCTGGTCTCTCCCTGGTCTCTCTGGTCTCTCTCTGGTCTCTCTCTGGTTTCCCTCTGGTCTCTCTCTGGTTTCCCTCTGGTCTCTCTCTGGTTTCCCGCTGGTCTCTCTCTGGTCTTTCTCTGGTTTCCCTCTGGTCTCTCTCTGGTTTCCCTCTGGTCTCTCTCTGGTCCCTCTCTCTGGTCTCTGTCTTTGGTCTCTCTCAGTCCTGGATCAAGTTTTTTCCACACCGACAAGGAGAGAGCTATCAAACTCCACAGAGAAAGGTGGAATTGAACCCAGGACCAGACGCTGGAGTGTTCTTTTGTAACTGTGGTTCCTGTCTTTCAGTCTATGTTTCAGGAGCTTCTAAATGTGAGTATGTTCCAGCTTTCAACATCTCAGTTGGAAACCTGGAGGCTCTGAGTGGAACATGTTTGCTGATTCCCTGCACTTTCACTTTGGCTCCTGTTCATGAAAATAAGATACAACTGGACAAACCTGTTGTGGCCATTTGGAGTAAAACACATCCCTACTTTGGACGAACTGGAGAGGAAAAGTTCTTTGACAGTTCTGATCCCGACCTCAGTTCTCCAATGACTTTAACTGGAGACCTGCGACAGCGAAACTGCACCACTCTGTTCACTGAGATCCACACCAATCATTCTGATAAATATTACCTCAGAATAGAAAACCAAGGGTTTAAAGCCACTGCCGTCTGTGACCCGCTGCAGATACACGTCCGAGGTGAGACTTTATACAAACTCTTTCTACATATGTCTTGCGTTAAAGCTTTCAAACCACATCTAAACAAACTCTGTAATAATCTCAGAATCTTGTTCCTGTCTCAGAACAGTCGCTTCTATCACTACTTTTCTCACAAATGTGTTTCCTCTGTCTTTAGACCAGCTTTTTCAGACAGGAAAGTGAAAAAGACTGGTCTCTCTCTGGTCTCACTCTGGTCTCTCTCTGGTCTCTCTCTGGTCTCTCTCTGGTCTCTCTCTGGTCTCTCTCTGGTCTCTCTCTGGTCTCTCTCTGGTCTCCCTCTGGTCTCTCTCTAATCTCTCTCTGGTCTCCCTCTGGTCTCCCTCTGGTCTCTTTCTGGTCTCTCTCTGGTCTCCCTCTGGTCTCTCTCTAATCTCTCTCTGGTCTCCCTCTGGTCTCCCTCTGGTCTCTTTCTGGTCTCTCTCTGGTCTCCCTCTGGTCTCTCTCTAATCTCTCTCTGGTCTCTCTCTTTCAGATGGTTATAAAAGTTAGGACAGAACACAGTTCTAACAATTGGTGGAGTAACAAACACAACAGAATTCTTTCAGTGCCTTGAGAGTAACAAGAAGTCAAAAAGGAGGAAATGACAAATATCTTTAGAAACGTCTGCAGTGTATTAATGGTTGAAGAGCAGATGATTTCACAGAGGAAAGCAGGTCTAAAAATATCTCTGTTTTTTTCTATCAGCAGCGTTTTTACCAAAAGAACTTCCTCAAAAGTCTCTTTACTCCAACACACACTCTTGTCTCTTTTCTGGTCCCTCTCTGGTCTCTCTCTGGTCTCTCTGGTCTCTCTCTGGTCTCTCTCTCTGGTCTCTCTCTCTGGTCTCTCTCTGGTCTCTCTCTCTGGTCTCTCTCTCTGGTCTCTCTCTCTGGTCTCTCTCTCTGGTCTCTCTCTGGTCTCTCTCTGGTCTCTCTCTCTGGTCTCTCTCTGGTCTCTCTCTCTGGTCTCTCTCTCTGGTCTCTCTCTGGTCTCTCTCTGGTCTCTCTCTCTGGTCTCTCTCTGGTCTCTCTCTGGTCTCTCTCTCTGGTCTCTCTCTGGTCTCTCTCTCTGGTCCCTCTCTATGGTCTCTCTCTGGTCTCTCTCTCTGGTCTCTCTCTGGTCTCTCCCTGCACTCTCTCTCTGGTCTCTCTCTTTCTGGTCTCTCTCTGGTCTCTCTCTGGTCTCTCTCTGGTCTCTCTCTCTGGTCGCTCTCTCTCTGGTCTCTCTCTGGTCTCTCTCTCTGGTCTCTCTCTGGTCTCTCTCTCTGGTCTCTCTCTCTGGTCTCTCTCTCTGGTCTCTCTCTGGTCTCTCTCTCTGGTCTCTCTCGGGTCTCTCTCTCTGGTCTCTCTCTGGTCTCTCTCTGGTCTCTCCCTGCACTCTCTCTCTGGTCTCTCTCTTTCTGGTCTCTCTCTGGTCTCTCTCTGGTCTCTCTCTGGTCTCTCTCTGGTCTCTCTCTGGTCTCTCTCTGGTCTCTCTCTGGTCTCTCTCTGGTCTCTCTCTCTGGTCTCTCTCTCTGGTCTCTCTCTCTGGTCTCTCTCTCTGGTCTCTCTCTCTGGTCTCTCTCTCTGGTCTCTCTCGGGTCTCTCTCTCTGGTCTCTCTCTGGTCTCTCTCTCTGGTCTTTCTCTGGTCTCTCTCCATCTCTTTACTCAAGTCACACACAATCGGTGTAAGGAACGATGGCGGATAAACTAATTTTAGAAAGAAATGAGGAATGATGCAATTTTGCTTTCATTGACAGGGCCCTTAAAGACACCATCAACTCTTTACCCCACTGCCCCACATAGCAACAGATCAACAAAAACAAGAGAGTGACTGGACCAGGCACGTCAATGTCCAAATACCTTCAGTTTGAAAAAAGAAAAACAATTATTAGAAAAGGAAATCCCTTCGTCTCTTGATCCGTTCCTATTGTTTTATTCAGCCCCAATGAGTTTAACTTTCCTGAACTAGATCAAAAAGCAACACAAAAAACTTCTAATCAAGAGAAAATAATGGACTGGGACAAGGTAGAAATGGTAGGAAAGAAAAAACATGAATACAAAAGATACAAGAGGCAAAGCAGGGAACACGGACCATCAACAGAGACAAGGGGGCCTATACCTCAACTCACACATGACCAGAGAAAGAGACCACCAAAGAGAGACCAGAGAGAGACCCGAGAGAGACCAGAGAGAGACCAGAGAGAGAGACCAGAGAGAGACCAGAGAGAGACCAGGGAGAGACCAGGGAGAGACCCGAGAGAGACCCGAGAGAGACCAGAGAGAGACCAGAGAGAGACCCGAGAGAGACCCGAGAGAGACCCGAGAGAGAGACCAGAGAGAGACCAGAGAGAGACCAGAGAGAGACCCGAGAGAGACCAGAGAGAGACCAGAGAGAGAGACCAGGGAGAGACCAGGGAGAGGCCAGAGAGAGACCCGAGAGAGGCCAGAGAGAGACCAGAGAGAGACCAGGAAGAGACCAGAGAGTGGCCAGAGAGAGACCTGTGAGAGACCAGGGAGAGACTAGAGAGAGAGAGACCAGAGAGAGACCAGAGAGAGACCAGGGAGAGACCAGAGAGAGACCAGAGAGAGACCAGAGAGAGACCAGAGAGAGACCAGAGAGAGACCAGAGAGAGACCAGAGAGAGACCAGAGAGAGACCAGAGAGAGACCAGAGAGAGACCCGAGAGAGACCAGAGAGAGACCAGAGAGAGAGACCAGAGAGAGACCAGAGAGAGACCAGGGAGAGACCCGAGAGAGACCAGAGAGAGACCAGAGAGAGACCAGGAAGAGACCAGGAAGAGACCAGAGAGTGGCCAGAGAGAGACCTGTGAGAGACCAGGGAGAGACTAGAGAGAGAGAGACCAGAGAGAGACCAGAGAGAGACCAGAGAGAGACCAGAGAGAGACCAGAGAGAGACCAGAGAGAGACCAGAGAGAGACCAGAGAGAGACCAGAGAGAGACCAGAGAGAGACCAGAGAGAGACCAGAGAGAGACCAGGGAGAGACTAGAGAGAGAGAGACCAGAGAGAGACCAGAGAGAGACCAGAGAGAGACCTGAGAGAGACCAGGGAGAGACTAGAGAGAGAGACCAGAGAGAGACCAGGGAGAGACCAGAGAGAGACCAGGGAGAGACTAGAGAGAGAGACCAGAGAGAGACCAGAGAGAGGCCTGAGAGAGACCAGGGAGAGACTAGAGAGAGAGACCAGAAAGAGACCAGAGAGAGACCAGAGAGTGACCAGGGAAAGACCAGGGAGAGACCAGGGAGAGACACCAGAGAGAGACTAGAGAGACACCAGACAGAGACCAGAGAGAGACCAGAGAGACCAGAGAGAGACCAGAGAGAGACCAGAGAGAGACCAGAGTGAGACCAGAGTGAGACCAGAGTGAGACCAGAGTGAGACCAGAGTGAGACCAGAGTGAGACCAGAGTGAGACCAGAGTGAGACCAGAGTGAGACCAGAGTGAGACCAGAGTGAGACCAGAGTGAGACCAGGGAGAGACCAGGGAGAGACCAGGGAGAGACCAGGGAGAGACCAGGGAGAGACCTGGGAGAGACCTGGGAGAGATCAGGGAGAGACAAAGGCCTGTCTCTGTTGCAGACAGTGAGAACAGTATAAAGGTCTGTCTCTGTTGCAGACAGTGAGAACAGTATAAAGGCCTGTCTCTGTTGCAGACAGTGAGAACAGTATAAAGGCCTGTCTCTGTTGCAGACAGTGAGAACAGTATAAAGGCCTGTCTCTGTTGCAGACAGTGAGAACAGTATAAAGGTCTGTCTCTGTTGCAGACAGTGAGAACAGTATAAAGGCCTGTCTCTGTTGCAGACAGTGAGAACAGTATAAAGGCCTGTCTCTGTTGCAGACAGTGAGAACAGTATAAAGGTCTGTCTCTGTTGCAGACAGTGAGAACAGTATAAAGGCCTGTCTCTGTTGCAGACAGTGAGAACAGTATAAAGGCCTGTCTCTGTTGCAGACAGTGAGAACAGTATAAAGGCCTGTCTCTGTTGCAGACAGTGAGAACAGTATAAAGGTCTGTCTCTGTTGCAGACAGTGAGAACAGTATAAAGGCCTGTCTCTGTTGCAGACAGTGAGAACAGTATAAAGGTCTGTCTCTGTTGCAGACAGTGAGAACAGTATAAAGGCCTGTCTCTGTTGCAGACAGTGAGAACAGTATAAAGGTCTGTCTCTGTTGCAGACAGTGAGAACAGTATAAAGGCCTGTCTCTGTTGCAGACTCTGCCTGGAGGCCCTCAGTGCAGATCTCTGGTTCTCTCAGGGAGCAGCAGACTGTGGTCATCAGCTGCTCTGCTCTCACTCCATGTCCAGACGCTCCTCCTGTTCTCAGCTGGAGCCTGCAGCAGACACCTGCTCACAGCCTGCTGCCAAACCCTGATGGAACCTTCAACAGCAGCATCCAGCAGAGCCTGCTGTTGTCTGAGGAGCACCACGGACTGGAGCTGCTCTGCTCCGCCCTGTATCCAGTGAGAGGAGGACACAAGGCGGCAAAGACCACAATGACCCTCACCGTGGACCGTGAGTATGCATTTGTGTCAAGACTCAGATGGTCCCTCTCTCTGGTCTCCCTCTGGTCTCTCTCTGGTCTCTGGTCTCCCTCTGGTCTCTGGTCTATCTCTAGTCTCCCTCTGGTCTCTGGTCTCCCTCTGGTCTCTGGTCTATCTCTAGTCTCCCTCTGGTCTCTGGTCTCTCTCTGGTCTCCCTCTGGTCTCTGGTCTCTCTCTAGTCTCCCTCTGGTCTCTGGTCTCTCTCTGGTCTCTCTCTGGTCTTAGCACTTCAGTCGTGAGTGCAGGTGGTTAGAAAAGTGTACAAAGTGTGCATGAGATGTTTTTAGTCTTCAAACAGATGCTACTGAGAAGATTTACCTCATTAACCTCTGAGGCCCACTGTAATCTGAACGTAACCTCTGAGGCCCACTGTGATCTGAACGTAACCTCTCAGGCCCACTGTAATCTGAACGTAACCTCTGAGGCCCACTGTAATCTGAACCTAACCTCTGAGGCCCACTGTAATCTGAACGTAACCCCTGAGGCCCACTGTGATCTGAACGTAACCTCTGAGGCCCACTGTAATCTGAACGTAACCTCTGAGGCCCACTGTGATCTGAACGTAACCTCTGAGGCCCACTGTAATCTGAACGTAACCTCTGAGGCCCACTGTAATCTGAACCTAACCTCTGAGGCCCACTGTAATCTGAACGTAACCTCTGAGGCCCACTGTGATCTGAACGTAATCTCTGAGGGCCACTGTAATCTGAACGTAACCTCGGAGGCCCACTGTAATCTGAACGTAACCTCTGAGGCCCACTGTAATCTGAACGTAACCTCTGAGGCCCACTGTAATCTGAACCTAACCTCTTAGGCCCACAGTAATCTGAACGTAACCTCTGAGGCCCACTGTAATCTGAACGTAACCTCGGAGGCCCACTGTAATCTGAACCTAACCTCTGAGGGCCACTGTAATCTGAACGTAACCTCTGAGGGCCACTGTAATCTGAACCTAACCTCTGAGGCCCACTGTAATCCACAATCTGTCGTGTCTCCTCAGATTCTCCTAAACACACGACTGTTCTCGTGGAGGGAAACACCTCTGTCTCTTTGACCCTGAGCTGCTCCAGCAGAGCCTGGCCTCCAGACCTCAGCTTCAGCTGGTTCAGGCTCTCACCACAGGGACCACAACGAGTCCATGAAGGAGACCTCTACACCATCAACCACACCAGTCCAGGACGATACTTCTGTCAAGCCAAGAACCAAGTCGGGGACCAGAACTCTACTGTCCTGACCCTGGGAGGTACCAGTTCTTTGGGTAGACAGTTCTTAACAGTATAATGTGACATCACCAAGTCTGAAGGATCCAGGATCAATGAGGAAGTAGATCCTAGTGGACTCTAACTGGATAAAACCCCCTTTGGTCAGTTCCAGTTGGACTGATCCATGTCCCTCTTGGTCCTGGTTCTGTCCACTGGTTTGTTGTGTGGAGGTGTAATGGAAACACAACCAGGTAGAGTAGAGCAGGGAGAGTGGAAACTGGGATTAGTTCACATCCAGCCTCAGTAACGGTCTAGTAGTCTCGCTCTCGCTCCTGCTCTAGTCTCTCTCTCGCTCCTGCTCTAGTCTCTCTCTCGCTCCTGCTCTAGTCTCTCTCTCGCTCCTGCTCTAGTCTCTCTCTCGCTCCTGCTCTAGTCTCTCTCTCGCTCCTGCTCTAGTCTCTCTCTCGCTCCTGCTCTAGTCTCTCTCTCTCGCTCCTGCTCTAGTCTCTCTCTCGCTCCTGCTCTATCTCTCTCTCGCTCTGCTCTGTCTCTCTCTCGCTCTGCTCTAGTCTCTCTCTCGCTCCTGCTCTAGTCTCTCTCTCGCTCCTGCTCTAGTCTCTCTCTCGCTCCTGCTCTAGTCTCTCTCTCGCTCCTGCTCTAGTCTCTCTCTCCTCCTGCTCTAGTCTCTCTCTCGCTCCTGCTCTAGTCTCTCTCTCGCTCCTGCTCTAGTCTCTCTCTCGCTCCTGCTCTAGTCTCTCTCTCGCTCCTGCTCTAGTCTCTCTCTCGCTCCTGCTCTAGCTCTCTCTCTCGCTCGCTCCTGCTCTCTCTCTCTCTCGCTCTCTGCTCTAGTCTCTCTCTCGCTCCTGCTCTAGTCTCTCTCTCGCTCCTGCTCTAGTCTCTCTCTCGCTCCTGCTCTAGTCTCTCTCTCGCTCCTGCTCTAGTCTCTCTCTCTCGCTCCTGCTCTAGTCTCTCTCTCGCTCCTGCTCTAGTCTCTCTCTCGCTCCTGCTCTAGTCTCTCTCTCGCTCCTGCTCTAGTCTCTCTCTCGCTCCTGCTCTCGTCTCTCTCTCGCTCCTGCTCTAGTCTCTCTCTCGCTCCTGCTCTAGTCTCTCTCTCGCTCCTGCTCTAGTCTCTCTCTCGCTCCTGCTCTAGTCTCTCTCTCGCTCCTGCTCTAGTCTCTCTCTCGCTCCTGCTCTAGTCTCTCTCTCTCGCTCCTGCTCTAGTCTCTCTCTCTCGCTCCTGCTCTAGTCTCTCTCTCGCTCCTGCTCTAGTCTCTCTCTCGCTCCTGCTCTAGTCTCTCTCTCGCTCCTGCTCTAGTCTCTCTCTCGCTCCTGCTCTAGTCTCTCTCTCGCTCCTGCTCTAGTCTCTCTCTCGCTCCTGCTCTAGTCTCTCTCTCGCTCCTGCTCTAGTCTCTCCGCTCTGCGTCTCTCTCGCTGCTCTAGTCTCTCTCTCGCTCCTGCTCTAGTCTCTCTCTCGCTCCTGCTCTAGTCTCTCTCTCGCTCCTGCTCTAGTCTCTCTCTCGCTCCTGCTCTAGTCTCTCTCTCGCTCCTGCTCTAGTCTCTCTCTCGCTCCTGCTCTAGTCTCTCTCTCGCTCCTGCTCTAGTCTCTCTCTCGCTCCTGCTCTAGTCTCTCTCTCGCTCCTGCTCTAGTCTCTCTCTCTCCTCTCTCTCTCGCTCCTGCTCTAGTCTCTCTCTCGCTCCTGCTCTAGTCTCTCTCTCGCTCCTGCTCTAGTCTCTCTCTCGCTCCTGCTCTAGTCTCTCTCTCTCGCTCCTGCTCTAGTCTCTCTCTCGCTCCTGCTCTAGTCTCTCTCTCGCTCCTGCTCTAGTCTCTCTCTCGCTCCTGCTCTAGTCTCTCTCCTGCTCTACTCTCTCTCGCTCCTGCTCTACTCTCTCTCTCGCTCCTGCTCTAGTCTCTCTCTCGCTCCTGCTCTAGTCTCTCTCTCGCTCCTGCTCTAGTCTCTCTCTCGCTCCTGCTCTAGTCTCTCTCTCGCTCTGCTCTAGTCTCTCTCTCTCGCTCCTGCTCTAGTCTCTCTCTCGCTCCTGCTCTAGTCTCTCTCTCGCTCCTGCTCTAGTCTCTCTCTCGCTCCTGCTCTAGTCTCTCTCTCGCTCCTGCTCTAGTCTCTCTCTCGCTCCTGCTCTAGTCTCTCTCTCGCTCCTGCTCTAGTCTCTCTCTCGCTCCTGCTCTAGTCTCTCTCTCGCTCCTGCTCTAGTCTCTCTCTCGCTCTGCTCTAGTCTCTCTCTCGCTCCTGCTCTAGTCTCTCTCTCGCTCCTGCTCTACTCTCTCTCTCGCTCCTGCTCTAGTCTCTCTCTCGCTCCTGCTCTAGTCTCTCTCTCGCTCCTGCTCTAGTCTCTCTCTCTCGCTCCTGCTCTAGTCTCTCTCTCGCTCCTGCTCTAGTCTCTCTCTCGCTCCTGCTCTAGTCTCTCTCTCGCTCCTGCTCTAGTCTCTCTCCTGCTCTAGTCTCTCTCGCTCCTGCTCTAGTCTCTCTCTCTCGCTCCTGCTCTAGTCTCTCTCTCGCTCCTGCTCTAGTCTCTCTCTCCTCCTGCTCTAGTCTCTCTCTCGCTCCTGCTCTAGTCTCTCTCTCTCGCTCCTGCTCTAGTCTCTCTCTCGCTCCTGCTCTAGTCTCTCTCTCGCTCCTGCTCTAGTCTCTCTCTCTCGCTCCTGCTCTAGTCTCTCTCTCGCTCCTGCTCTAGTCTCTCTCTCGCTCCTGCTCTAGTCTCTCTCTCGCTCCTGCTCTAGTCTCTCTCTCCCTGCCAGTCGCTCCTGCTCTAGTCTCTCTCTCGCTCCTGCTCTAGTCTCTCTCTCTCGCTCCTGCTCTAGTCTCTCTCTCGCTCCTGCTCTAGTCTCTCTCTCGCTCCTGCTCTAGTCTCTCTCTCGCTCCTGCTCTAGTCTCTCTCTCGCTCCTGCTCTAGTCTCTCTCTCGCTCCTGCTCTAGTCTCTCTCTCGCTCCTGCTCTAGTCTCTCTCTCGCTCCTGCTCTAGTCTCTCTCTCGCTCCTGCTCTAGTCTCTCTCTCGCTCCTGCTCTAGTCTCTCTCTCGCTCCTGCTCTAGTCTCTCTCTCGCTCCTGCTCTAGTCTCTCTCTCGCTCCTGCTCTAGTCTCTCTCTCGCTCCTGCTCTAGTCTCTCTCTCTCGCTCCTGCTCTAGTCTCTCTCTCGCTCCTGCTCTAGTCTCTCTCTCGCTCCTGCTCTCTCTCTCTCTCGCTCGCTCCTGCTCTAGTCTCTCTCTCGCTCCTGCTCTAGTCTCTCTCTCGCTCCTGCTCTAGTCTCTCTCTCGCTCCTGCTCTAGTCTCTCTCTCGCTCCTGCTCTAGTCTCTCTCTCGCTCCTGCTCTAGTCTCTCTCTCGCTCCTGCTCTAGTCTCTCTCTCGCTCCTGCTCTAGTCTCTCTCTCGCTCCTGCTCTAGTCTCTCTCTCGCTCCTGCTCTAGTCTCTCTTCTCGCTCCTGCTCTAGTCTCTCTCTCGCTCCTGCTCTAGTCTCTCTCTCGCTCCTGCTCTAGTCTCTCTCTCGCTCCTGCTCTAGTCTCTCTCTCGCTCCTGCTCTAGTCTCTCTCTCGCTCCTGCTCTAGTCTCTCTCTCGCTCCTGCTCTAGTCTCTCTCTCGCTCCTGCTCTAGTCTCTCTCTCGCTCCTGCTCTAGTCTCTCTCTCGCTCCTGCTCTAGTCTCTCTCTCGCTCCTGCTCTAGTCTCTCTCTCGCTCCTGCTCTAGTCTCTCTCTCGCTCCTGCTCTAGTCTCTCTCTCGCTCCTGCTCTAGTCTCTCTCTCGCTCCTGCTCTAGTCTCTCTCTCGCTCCTGCTCTAGTCTCTCTCTCGCTCCTGCTCTAGTCTCTCTCTCGCTCCTGCTCTAGTCTCTCTCTCGCTCCTGCTCTAGTCTCTCTCTCGCTCCTGCTCTAGTCTCTCTCTCGCTCCTGCTCTAGTCTCTCTCTCGCTCCTGCTCTAGTCTCTCTCTCTCTCCTGCTCTAGTCTCTCTCTCGCTCCTGCTCTAGTCTCTCTCTCGCTCCTGCTCTAGTCTCTCTCTCGCTCCTGCTCTAGTCTCTCTCTCGCTCCTGCTCTAGTCTCTCTCTCGCTCCTGCTCTAGTCTCTCTCTCGCTCCTGCTCTAGTCTCTCTCTCGCTCCTGCTCTAGTCTCTCTCTCGCTCCTGCTCTAGTCTCTCTCTCGCTCCTGCTCTAGTCTCTCTCTCGCTCCTGCTCTAGTCTCTCTCTCGCTCCTGCTCTAGTCTCTCTCTCGCTCCTGCTCTAGTCTCTCTCTCGCTCCTGCTCTAGTCTCTCTCTCGCTCCTGCTCTAGTCTCTCTCTCGCCTCCTGCTCTGCTCTAGTCTCTCTCTCGCTCCTGCTCTAGTCTCTCTCTCGCTCCTGCTCTAGTCTCTCTCTCGCTCCTGCTCTAGTCTCTCTCTCGCTCCTGCTCTCTAGTCTCTCTCTCGCTCCTGCTCTAGTCTCTCTCTCGCTCCTGCTCTAGTCTCTCTCTCGCTCCTGCTCTAGTCTCTCTCTCGCTCCTGCTCTAGTCTCTCTCTCGCTCTGCTCTAGTCTCTCTCTCTCTGCTCGTCTCTCTCTCGCTCTGCTCTAGTCTCTCTCTCGCTCCTGCTCTAGTCTCTCTCTCGCTCCTGCTCTAGTCTCTCTCTCGCTCCTGCTCTAGTCTCTCTCTCGCTCCTGCTCTAGTCTCTCTCTCGCTCCTGCTCTAGTCTCTCTCTCGCTCCTGCTCTAGTCTCTCTCTCGCTCCTGCTCTAGTCTCTCTCTCGCTCCTGCTCTAGTCTCTCTTCTCGCTCCTGCTCTAGTCTCTCTCTCGCTCCTGCTCTAGTCTCTCTCTCGCTCCTGCTCTAGTCTCTCTCTCGCTCCTGCTCTAGTCTCTCTCTCGCTCCTGCTCTAGTCTCTCTCTCGCTCCTGCTCTAGTCTCTCTCTCGCTCCTGCTCTAGTCTCTCTCTCGCTCCTGCTCTAGTCTCTCTCTCGCTCCTGCTCTAGTCTCTCTCTCTCTCTGCTCTGTCTCTCTTCTCCGTCCTGCTCTAGTCTCTCTCTCGCTCCTGCTCTAGTCTCTCTCTCGCTCCTGCTCTAGTCTCTCTCTCT